ATCGCCAAGTGTGAGTGAATTTGCATCCGTAAGGCAAGGTACCTAGTGGGCTCCGGGAGCTGAAAGGCTCTTATCCAAGAACTTGCGTTTGGAGAAGCACAGCCACCACTAAACAACAGCATGGAAATGAGAACTGTCATAATAGTTTATTCCAGTGAAAGATAATGTATATGCAATCAGATTTAAAAACGCTTAAGAACCCTTTCACTTGAAAATTACACTGGGGCGACTTACCTTGCTGGGCGGACCAGCCTCGTCGGGATAAACAACCTTAAGAAGGCGCGTTCCCATCTCCGTGCGTAGTTGAATCAAGTAGTTTCGCATGGTATCTGCCTCAGCCATGCTAGGCTTCGCGTACAGGGTATTCAGTTCACGCGGAAACCCAGGGTCCCCAGGCAGATCAAAACGCGCTATCGCCATGGCATTGAGTTCCTTAGCTCCAAGGGTTTTCGTGTTGCACTGCAGTTCAATATATTGTCAGAATAAATAATGAGACACGGGGTGATCCCAACGACTTTGGTATATATAGTTAGCAGATATTCCTTCAAAATTAGCATAGTTTGCAAGACGCAACTAACTTTATTTGAAAACGCACCAGAACTTCTACAAACATTTTCAAGTGATTAATGTGATTCCAGTCCAGCCAAAAATGAAGCCATGTAGGCAATGCCTAACTGAATGACTTTGTCGACTCAGAAATGTCACTAGATTGTAGGATCTTTTAAACGCAAGTACTATTAGAAGGGAAGCGGGCAACTTTTAATCAGAATTCCGTTAAGGCTGACTTTGCACGACTATGCGGTAGGATACCAACATTAGTAATGCATAGAGTGGTACGTGAATGATAACAAGCCGATGCACTTATATAAAAATGCAATGCTCTCAGTAAGTACCACGCACAACGAGTTAGAAGTCCGGTGACTGAAAATGGACAGACCGTATGAAATATAAACAAATAATGACAACATACCCGTTGGAGCTTACGAAGGCACTCCAAAATGTAAAGTACCAAGTATACCAAAACGCGGTCGGCATCGCTCTAAAACAGAAAAACATTGAAGGGTCTTGATGAAGAAGAGTGCTATTTTGCATGCTGGGAATTCGCGTAAAACAAAATTTGAATGACGGAATCGCAGCATATGACAGCACGACAGTGGGTTCGCTGGCAGGAAACTCTTTCAGGAGCGGTCTTGTAAAAAAGTCTCTCAGATGTATATCAACATTTCCTTTAATAAGAATATCGATCCACCTTATCGTGACAGCTAAAGTTCTACGTACTACCGTTCAGACTGTTAGCTGCTGGTGACATAAAGCGTGAATGTAGGCGAATCACATTGTGTGGGGAAATAGCGCATAATAAGATGCAGAAAAGGCGTCTTTTGACAGAAATCAGGTAGATCATAAACACATTGGGTTTAGCTCAGTTAATCTTAGTAAATGCGTTAAAAGCGATTGAACTGTCAATGGGGGCCAGCAATGACAATCATACATACCTTGAACTCAAATTGGCGGAAGAAAATCAATGGCTTGAAGTAAAGTAAGGCCTCATCAATAATATCAAACTGTAGATTTTGATCGTTCGGAGCAGGACCACGAACGGTTGTCCGCAGAGGCAAGAGCGCGAGGTTTCCAACTCGCCTCGGAGCGTCCGTGAATTGGGAGTGATAAGACTGCTGCATAGAAAACGAAGGAAGGGATATGAGAAATTGCCAGACTGGTACTGAATATAAAAAGCAAGTCACAAATGGTCTACCTTCGTCCAGTAGCTTATGTGTGAAGCGACAAGGCTGCAACTGCGAATGGCTATAGCAGTTATCGTCGAAAAGGCAGTTGAACGGCTGGCGGAACTTCCCGCAATTACCAAGCTTCATAATATATTTATAACACAGAGGTCCAGGCATGGAAAAAAAAAGTAATTATATGCTTAGTTCTACGTAGACGCAAGCATTTTGACGACAGTAAGATGGATTAAAATCTGGCAAGCTCACGTATTAAAACCACGCTAGACATGTATAGCCATAAACTGCAGACTTTCAGCCTGCTAGCTACTACGGCATGCGACTCAATAGGCAATTCGCTGACGTTTGAGTATAAACCTAATACTGTTACATTAATGCGGCGGTTTTGTGAACGGATAATATATATTAACTCACACAAAACCAAGTTAGGGATAGTAAAAGTCCAGTAGAAGAACAGTGATAATAGAATTAACATTTTAAGAAAACTAAACGGAAACACAAAGAACTGAATATTTGCAAACTGTTTGCAGAGTTAATAAAATAAGAAGTAGGAAGAAGGAACTCACAGACATTCCCGCCAAGCGTCACCGTTCACAATGCTGTTCTCGAACGTGGTTGGTCGCGCTCTCAAAGCGTAAATCCGTTTTTTGTTGCATTATGTTTTCAGAATTATCAGAACATGGTCACGGTCGCTTAAGCAAAATAAAGGGGAAGCTCCGATTTATTTCAGGACAACGAATATATACAGGGATAAACTGATGCCTGTGGGATAATAGGAACACCATCTTAGATTGTATCACGTGAGCTAGGGGCTACTTCGAAAAGGACGCATGTACACAGCGCGGCCATGGCTGACCGTCTGCCTCCTTAAGGCTCTCGGTAGAAAGGAATTCTCGCAGTCCCAAGTTGGTCACTTTATCCTCAACTAATGATTCGCTTTGAGTAGTCTTGTTGACTGAGTCGGGCATCTCCTTCAACTCGTTATATGACATTCACATCAAGCCAAGGGTATGACAGAACGATGCACGTTTATTACGATAGGAACAGAGGACAGGAGATGGATGGGAAAAAGGGGGTGTGAAAACTAATACTACTGTCAGGATAATGGAGGGGATAAGAACGGGTTACCAAAGTTACAGTTCACTCTGTGGGTTGCAAAGGCAATATTTTCACATCTTCCGCTGACACCGCCACGTTCGCACCTGAAGGGCAACAACAACAACAACAACAACAGACACATTAATAAACTGCTAATAACCACCACAGCCAGATTCAATTGCCCGCCGTTACAGATCGTATGATGTGGGCTAGTGGCTTCTTCGAAAAGGACGCATTTCCACAGCTTAGCCGCACAGTTCGTTTTATTCATAAGCACTGCAGGAAGGACTTGATATGCGTGAAATCTTCGCATGAAGGATTGGTAAAAAATATGGGTTCGATAACTCAATAGCAAATAGGTGCATAAACTTAGGCGAGAATGTAGTATGTGCTACGATCAGTTTTTGCGACAGGACAGAATGTGCGCAGCAAGTAAATTACAGCGTCCGATTATTTCAGTTACGCTGCAGAATCTTCCAGCTTACATGCCTACACAGCTGACGTTCCAAGTGTTATCGTCTGTGCAACCCAACCGCGGCCTCTTATAATTTCGTTTGCCTTCCTGGAGAGAATTCATACCTTTTAATCGACAAAACTGGTAAACTGTTGTTTAGAGCCAACTATTACCAATATCTTTCCAGTTCTCAATGTGGAGGGTACGCGTATACCCTACAGACACACGGCTCCCTAGAGAGTGGTTAACGAGCACCAAGGGCCGAAGTGGACGAAGTAGCAAGAAAGTCTCCTATCATGTCGATATTTAGCCCCGTTTTCCTGCGTGGTTGTAGATGGATCAAAACGACAAGTAAGGTGGAAAGCGAAATTAGAACAGCACGATCAGAAATTCGTTGAAGATTCCACTTGATTGGTCGATGATCCTACGATGTCGCCCATGGTATATTCTTTCATGTCGTAGTACATACTGCGAAGTAAACGATTGAGTCACAAACGTCGGGCAGTGATTCAGTAGACACAATGCCCGCACGCAGGCCGTTCTTTTAACCACGTAATACAGTATGAGATCCTTGGTTTGCTTTAAATTGGCGAAAATTCCCATCGAAAATGTCAGAAGATAAATTGGCGAACATACGTTTGTTTTCGATAAACTCTCGTCAGACCTTTACGTTTATATGGTAATGAAATAAAT